CTAACAATTACAATTAAAAAAAAAAATTAACAGTAAGTAGCAAACCAATAAAACAATAGCTCCTACTAACCATAATCGTTGCATTAGTGTCTCAATAAATATTGATTGACCTATAAATGGAATCAACTACCCAAAAGCCCAGAAATAAAATCTTCAACCACATAGCATGTGTCGTAGCTCCATAACAACCCACAAATTATGATGCATGGTGAAGGAAACTACAAGTGTCTGCTTTGTGCTTTTTCATGAAATCCTCCAGTCAGCTTAAAAACAGATCGTTAAGTATATTTTCTTTTATTAGGACATCCGACAAGATGATTAATCTTCGTATAAATAAGCATGAAATCGATAGTTTTTTACAGGTATCTCAAAAATTTATTTGCTAGCGCCCAATGCTCAAACTCGAGATTGGAAGAAAATCTTCCTATCACGTTGACTACAAAATCAATATCAGGCATGGTACAAACTTGGATATACATCAAGCTTCCAACAACGTTAGCATAAGGCACATTTTCCATCTATTGTTGCTCTAATTTTTCGTACAGGTTAATTCTCCTTTATTATAGAAACCTCCCTAGGTCTATAATCTTTCATATTAAAACGTTTAAGAACACTATTTACATATGATCTTTGAGAAAGTCCCAACAAACTCCGTAGCTCATTCCCATGAGTTTCAATACCAAGTACAAAGGATGCTTTCTAAGATATTTCATGTCAAAAGTCTTTGAAATCAGTTGCTTAGTATTATGAAGCAAATTAAATTGCTAGCATGAAGAATGTCATTCATATATAACACAAGAAAAATAAATATGCTCCTACTGATCTTAAGATATATACACTGGCTTATCTTGTTGTCAACAAAATCAAGTGGTAATCACATCTTCAAACCTTAAGTACCACTAACAAAAAGCATGCTTCAACCCGTTAATGGACTTCTTCAACTTGCAGACCATATGTTCTTTCTCGCTTTCTTTGAAACCTTCAGGTTGTTGCATTTATACTTCTTCTTGCAAGTGCCCATTCAAAAAGACAGTTTTCACAT